AGCAGCAATAAGCTTTTGCTTGGTGCAGCACTACACACACATGGGTACAGAAACAGGGCATGGAGGAATTGTGGCTGCCAGGTAACCAACAGCACGATGACCAGAGCTGTCCCCCTGCCACAGGACACAAACTTGCAGCTGAACACCCCTGTAGCATGAGACAACATGCTGAGCACAGGATTTGAACACAGACCCTTCTCCAGGTTCTACCTGCTTAATGTTTAGTGGTTACCATATAGCTAGGGTGCTGCTGTGACTATTGGCTGGAGCAAGGCCACAGGTCATCTGGAAGGATGCTTTTGCAGCAAGCCCAGTACCCACGCCATGAGCACAGGTACAACGGAGCTGCAGCAACTCACAGCACCCAGTAGGGCTCCACACAGACCCAGCAAGCTGTGGCACAACCCCCACTCCAGCACGTTGTCCCAGCCTTGCACCACAAACTCCTCCACCTCTCATCTCCAAGCGCCTGTGGTCCTGAGCACTGGTCTGCAAAGGAAGTAGCAGGGATACAGGAACCAGCTTTCTTGCAACAGCTCCAAAGAACAGCACCAGGGGATGCTGGGACAAGACGGGGTCCTTCCTGCAGAAAAGGGCCACTGCCTGATTCTGCACCCACAGGCAGGCCCTCTGCAGCACCCTTGGCCAAAGGCCACAAGTAACACAGGCAGGCAAGGGCCAGCGCTTGCAGGGACACTAGGCAGGGAGCAGAAACGGTCCCTCCAGCCAAATGTTTCCATTCCCCATGTCCTCCCTGCCCCCTCCCAAAACAGCACCAAAGCAAGAGACAGCTGCAGCTTATATGGAATGTGAGGGGCCCTGCCAGAGACTCTGGCAAGGGAAACCAGGCCTTATAAGGCCATGGAGGCAGAATCAAATTTTTATCAATGAGCGCAAGAGCATGGAGACGCCCGGGGAGAGATAACAGTGCTGAGAGTGGGCCAGGAAGGGTGGGCTGGGCCGGTGGGGAGCTCTGCTGCAAAGGCCAGGGCCAGGACACCTGCCACCCACGTCCCTCCTCTCCAAATCGCCACCACCACCAGTCAAATGAAGGAGCCAGCCCTGACAGGTCACAGCAGAAGGTTGCTGAAGTTGCAGCAAAAGAAGACCCGTCTTCCAGCTTCCCAAGCTGCTTTTCAAGGAGGGCTAGGGACGATCAGGGCTCCCAGAACAGCCCCATGGGCACAGTTTATAACCTCCCCCCACCACACCCTCCTCTCCCCAGGGCTCCCAAGCGTGCAGCTGAGCACAGGAACATTACCTTGGTTTCCCCACTGCTGTCTGATTCCGACACCTGGTAGGTGAGGTCCGTCTCCTCAAAGCCCGTGGCGCTCATGCGCTGGTCAGTGGTCGGGTCCGAGCGCGGGGGCGAGTCTGGGGAGTTGAGGCATGTCTGGATCAATGCCTTCCCTGTCTCGCTGGTGATCATGGGCTGCAGCTTCCGTGTGGCAAACGTGTACACATGGCCTGTCTCGCTGGCCACCAGCAGCAGGACTTGAGTACCGGTCAGCGTGGAAAGCTCGTAAGCCTGCCAGCAGCACAAGGGAAGAACAGGGAGTCACAGACAGCAGGGACACATACAGTGCAGGACAAGAATCCCTGGCACGTCCCTGATGCTCCCAGCATGGCCCTCCTTTTGCTCACAGCAGCTCCAGCTGCCTGTCACCCCAGAAGATCTGTGGTCGCTAAAACCAACTCAAGATTGGCTCCTTGCAGCACACTGTGCTGTGTTCCCATCTCCTTCAGTATGCCCTCAGGGGATGCACGTGCCAAGAGGCCACAGCGAAAGAGTGGTCCTCTCAGGAGAGCAGCCTGAGGACATGGGGACACTGAGCTGCCACCATGCTGGAAATCTCACCTCCATTTCCAGACACATCTGGATGCCTTCCCCCCCTCACCTCTACTGAGCCAAGTGAGAGGATGCTACTCAGCCCACATGTCTCTGCTAGCCCATCCCATCCAGGCCAAGACCCAGATTCCCCTCTGCCTTCACAGCCCTGAGCACAGCAGCACTCAAACACCCCTGCAGCGACGCTGCCACCCCCCAGGCCTGACCTGCCCTGTGGGTTAAGAAGAACAGTGTCATCTGTGGTCTCCTACAAGCTGCCACAGACAGGACGGCTGCATCCTGCACCCCACACAGCCAGGATGTGCCCAGCAGTGCCCCAAAGCCGTTCCCACCTTCCCAGGGCGCACGAAGCCCAGCTCAGCTGGGACGCAGCACTGCCCAGGAGTCCCGAGGATGCTACCAGCACCAACGGGGACGCAGACGAGCCAGCAGCATCCAACCCACACACACAAACCCCCTCAAGTTTCTAACGCCT